GCCAGTTGGACGGCCAATGGTTATGGTCCATAATGGTGAGGTCGGCTCCAGTATCCAATAATACATTAAGGCAAATCTGTGTCCCATTAGAAGAAAAAGTGGCGTCAGTCACCAGACGACGATTCATTGGCATAGTTAGCAGAACCAACTCTCCTGTTGATCCAAATCCAGCAGTTCCCCTAGTAACTGCGGGGGAGGCTTCCATATCTTTGGTCAGTTGGGGCAGAGGGACTAATTGAGCAATTTTACTGTTTGCTGGAATGTGAATTGGAGGAAATAAAGTCTGTACCATTATACATATAGTCCCAGTAAAGTCAGCATCAATAATTCCTGGTAAAATAAATAGTCCTTTAATACTGCTCGATGATCGTGCAATTAGTAAAGCGCCTTGTGGTTGTCCATTAATTAGTATTGGGCCCTTAACCTTAGTTGCAATCCGATGTGGGTGTTGATCAATTAACGTAACATCTAGTGCTGTCGCCAAGTCCAGGCCGAGGCTCCCCCTTGTGGCTGGTCGGAGGGTGCTGGGAGGAACGACGGGGGCCGAACTTGTTGCTGAGGCAGGAGGAGGTTGTCGCTTAACACTGCAGGGGCTGCCACTGTTGTTGTTGCGCGGCGGCCCGTCGCGCTCATTTGGGCGTTTCCCGATCGCTCACAGGCACTGGTATTATGGGTATTCATGTTGCACTTCCCGCACCAGACTTGTCGAACAGGGCATTCTCGTTGAATGTGTCCTTCTTGCCCGCATCGAAAACATTTGAGACGGCGCCGCTGCGGTGGTCGTTGTTGCTTGTCGGGTGGGCGTAATGGAGCTAGGGCTACAAGGGCTTGGTGCTGGGCCTGAATCAAGTCCTTCCCTAAGTCTCGAACTGCCTCTACCAACATAGCCTGGGGGCCTACAGGCACTCTGCTCATACGTTCCAGCATCTGCTCTATGGTAGCATTCCCAGGCAATGTTAGTATAATAGACTTTGTTGCTGGGTTAGTATTTTCTAAAACACGCTGCCTGAGGAGCGCAGGTTTCATCCAGTCTTGAACGTCTGCCTGTTCTATAGCTGCCGTTACTCGATCAATGAACTGTGCAAAGGTTTCATCTCATCCCTGCTCTATTGCCATATAGGATGGAGATGGGGGGACTGTTTTAACTGCAGCTATAGCTAGCCTTGCTGTACGCATGGCCTCCATGCAGACATCTGGGCCTTGCTGTATTTGAGCATCTATGGTAATATATCGGCCCACTCCCATTAGCTGTTCCACAGTTACCCCAAACAGTGGGTCATTTTGGTGTCTGGGTTGATGAGCTGCTATTTCACAGAGTCGTTGCCAGTGGGCCTGCCATAGTAACAACTGAGATTGGGTCATAATCATTTTCATAAGAATCTTAATATCTTCCTGACACAAAATGGTTCCCCCCCATACATAATTTAATAACTGCTTCTTGGGTTCACCATGTAACCCCGATTCATTGACAGTACTGTGCAGCTGGGAAAGCATTTTCCAATTCAGTGGAGTATAGGTCCCATAAGCAGCTCCATTTCCAGCCAAGTCAAACTGGACTGGAAATGCCAGATTCTCAGAGAGGATATCAACAACGTCATATTGCTTATCCTCTGCCGCCTCACGCATGACATTCCACCAGTCAACATGATATATCCAGCCCTGTGCTTTTGCTGTAGCAGATTGCACTGGGCGGCCATCTTCCGTCCCCCCCTCTTTTACCGAGGTCGGGGGGGGGGGGGGGCGGGGCATGACTGTAAAGATACTGGGTGGGGGCTGGCCTCCGGACTTTCCCTATTCACATTAACTGTAACTGGCCCTCCTGTTGATGGTACAGGAATACGATCACTGTCAAAGAGCATAGAACCGGATGCCTCACTATCTGGGGTAATAGTGGAACTTCCCCCCCCCCAACTTTGTAGTTGCTACAGCTGCAATGTTCTTTTCAAGCTGATACCGCTTAATATTATTCACCACCTCCCGCCATGGTTTCATCATTTTCCTTGCAGCTTTATCATCATCAATTACCATATCCCATAAAATATCACCTAATCGTCTCCACTCGTCAACATCAAAAAGAGAATTAGGGTCCTGAAAACATCCTTTGACCCTCCCTAATGCTACTAAACCCGCGAGTGATTTTATACAATCCACTCCCCACTTTTCTAAAAAGCACTGTAATAAATCCAGGGCTACCTCCTGTTCCATCTCGTCAACCTGGTGCTCCTTGTTTAAGGCACCTCCGGTCCTGTGCTCCCTGGATAAGGCACAGTACCGTTACTGCCGACCCACCCCTGATTAAGGCACCGTCGGCCCTTTGCTCCTAAAAAATACTCCCGCCGGCCTGTGCTCCCTGTTTTAGGCACTAAAAATACTCCTGCCGGCCTGTGCTCCCTGTTTAAGGCACTAAAAATTTACCCCCTTACTTTGATATGTTGCTGATGCTCCGTGACTAAGGCACCAGGTGCAGCTCTTGCCAGCAGCCCTTGCAGAGAGTGACCCTCTATCTTGGTTCAGCTCCTCAGAACGACCCGTCGGAGGCCCACTGTCCGATCGTCCTTGATTCGGCTAGGCGCTGCTGTCTCTGATGTTTCCCCGCGTTTGTTTCTGCCGCCGCTGTATGCAGCGCCTTTCCGCGTCAGCTTCCGGCGCCCCTCTGCGTCAGTTCCGGTGCCCCCCCCCTTCCACTTCCGGGGCCACCCTGCGCTCGCCTCCAGCGCCCCCTCGCGTCCACCCCCGGGGCCGCTCAGCGTTCGCCTGTAGCGTGCCTTCACGTCTGCCCCTGTGGCTGCCGCAGTCGCCTCCTTACCACGTTAGTTCCGGCGCCTTTCCGCTTCCGTTCGCGGGGCCACTCACTTCTGGTCTCGGGGCCGCTCTGCCTCCGCTCTCTGGGGCCGCTCCGCCTCTGCTCTTGGGGCCGGTCCAGCCGGCTTCTCTCCGCGTGCTCTCCCTGGGCTGCCAGGGCTGGTGCCTCTCCGTCTCAGCTCGTGGACCCTGGACGCTGCTGTATTTGGTGTTTCTCTGGGTCCGTTCTCAAATTCCTCGGTCGTTGCTGTTTTTTCTGGGTCCGCCGCTCCGTCCGTGTTCTTCTTCTATGCAGGTCCCTGTTCGGGCACCATCTTGTGGAGCCGCGGACGAACGACACACCGAGACGGGTTCAATGTGGGTGATAGAGCATCAATTCAACTTTATTGGTCCGGGTGCATATATTTATACAGACAATGCTAATTATTATGCCTACTAGTCACTAGCTGATTGGCTTAAGCTCTAAAGGTCGTATTCGCACGGTCCACCTACTTGCAGTTAGCTTACAGCACAAGCTTCTCATAACACTAAGTTTCTCAGGCCACTATTTCTAATTCCTCTTGACTTGTTTTTGATACACAACAGTACCATAACACAATGTTTCTCAGACCACCGTTACCATAACACTAGGTTTCTCAGACCACTATTTTGAATTCCCCTTAACCTGTTTTCGACACACCACAGTACACAAGGCCGAAGCATCCTTGACATTCCTCATGTATCAGCAGCTGCGAGCAGCTGCAGGCAAACCCTAGTGAGGCCCAGCATCAGCAGCTAGAGCAGGCTCTGATCATACAGTTGCTCGGTGGGCTCAGGACCCTTGTCTCTGAGCCATTCTCCAACACGTCTCCTTCTATCAATTGTGCAGTGCTGGGGGTTTTGATGAGAGAAGCCAAACCCTGCCCTACAGTCCCCAGTATCCTCTAGCTTCATCTTGGCTCGACAGAATATGATCTTTCCTGGTGAGGGAGACTCTCCAGTCCTACTCTGTTTCAGTTTGTCAGGGGCCCTGAGAGTATTTTTCCTGTATTTTGGCCAAACCCGAAAATCCCAGTTCGCTATCCTGATCGGAGCCCGGATCTATCCTCTCATCAAACACCTGCCTGTTTTCTTGCAATTCATACTGGAAGATTTTCTCTCAGTCTAGTGAATTTGGCAAAATTGCATGAAGCCTCTGAGGAGTGTTATGTTCAGCAGTGAGATGACTTTGCAAGTTTCTTATCTGCTCTTACAGGCATTCAATTGTCTCTTTCTCTGCTTGTTTTTCCTTTCCAGCCGCAATTAACGCAGCCCCTAGAACAGCACAGATGGTTGCTTTTCCTTTCCCCAATCCCAGTTTTCACTCCTTTGCCAAAAGCGTGATCCTATCCACCAATGCTTGCCAATTCTTTTGGGCCCAAGGCATGCCAAGAGGAGAGGACAGGGATTTATAGCCCTTCAATTTCTCAAGGAAGGGGCTTCTCTGCTATTGTTGGATGCCCAAATCGATCCCGATAACAACTGTTACACAATACAAAAGGGTTACTCTAAAGTATTCAGCCTAGTGTGTGGTTACGGACCCAGTGTGGATCTTTCCAAGAAGATCCACTGTCCTCTCTCCTGTCAGGCACTTCCTTAAAGAAGGGGCCATGCTAAGGGCCCTGATCCCTTCTGGTTGGATCAGTATCACAAGGGCATCCTGTCCGTGACGACAATTTAGAAATGCTGCAGCCCAAAAGAAGCTGTTCAAAACAGCCTCCCTCCCCTTGGGACCTACGACCAAGTTTGAGATACCCTCATTCTGAATTGAGGTGAAACACCACCAGCCAACCCGTTTAACAATTTATTAATACAAAAGACACGGCAAGTGGTGAGATACAAATACTCAATGGCAACTTCTTAACTAGGTAAACAAGTCCCATGCTTACTTGGAGCTAGTTACAATTTGTTAAAGAAAGGAGAAGAGAGAAAGAGAGAGAGACAGAGACAACTTGTCTGTTAGGTTTCCCTTCCCTCACTTAATACAATGCTTAAGGAACCGTCCTGGATCTTTGTGGCCAGCACAAGTAATTAAGAACCTGGGCGTCACAAGGATGAGGCAGGTCTTAATATTCAGAGCATATCCACGCCTGTACTTATTGTTGTAAGATGTTTCAAGACTCCCAGCAATGTACATTTTCGGTTACAATCCCTGTATACGCACAAGACTAGTGAAATACTCAAGCTGTCTGAGAGAGGGTATTGACATAGCCAAAGGCTTCAGCATGATGAGGTTCTGCAAAATCAAGTTCTTTCACATAACGGTTTTTATTAACTTTATGCTCCACCTTCCTGCATGGAGACTCCATAGGAGACAAGAGGACGGCAGAGTTTGGATCACTTGGAGTTAAGTCCACTAGGGTAGCAGAATCACGGACGCTTCCAAGAGAAATTTCACCCAATTCCTTCAGTGAAGCAGGTGGGATTAGAGGGCAGGCATCTCGAGCTCTGAAGATGTTCTGAATGAGCTACTCCGCATCTAGGCTCCATGGCACCAGGTCAGTTGGGATGGCCTGTGCCACCATCACCTTGCTGATTTTCTCCTCCTCCCGAGAAGAAGTTGTTTTTTCATCCAGAACATTTTCAAGCATCTCTTGATACACAGCAGAACTGGAGGGAGCTGGATCGCTCGACCCAGAAGTTGTGGCGGTCAAATGCTCTTCAGATGAGTCAGTCCCGTTAGCGGTGTCCTCATTAAGAAGCAGCCCACTGTCTGCCACCTCCTCCAGAGCTTGGTCCTCCGTGGTGAGGCTGCCTGGCATCGTGGCACACAACGCTAACGGCTTCCCCTCTGAGTCTCACATGGACTCCAGGCACTGCTCATCTCTCACAGAGCTCTTCTGAGCCATCCCCAGGCCCTGCAGCAAAGCTTCCAGTTTCTTGTTTGCAATGCTTATGGCTGTGAAGTATTTCTGAATTATTTTGCCTTTCTCAGCCAAGCTGTTTCTCATGCTTTCAACAGCCTGCTGGAGTTCCTGACTTTCCCTTCTCGCTTCCCAGAAGTGCAGCTCCAGCTCCATATGCTTACACTCTTCCTCAACCCAGTCTTCCTTCATCCATGCCAGATGAGCCTTGAGCTCTTCTATTTCTGTTTCCCTGCAGCAAAAGCAAAATGCAGTGGCAGTGCTGTGGACGGTCAGTGAAAGAGTGCAGCGCTTGCCGTCTGGCCTCCTGCCTCGCCCTGGAGGCGATGGGAAGCGGCTGCCCGGATGCGTCCCCCGTGCCTGCCAGCAGCTCGGCACCTGCAGCCAGAGCCAACACGGGCCTCGGGCACAGGACGGCTCGGGGCTGCAGCCCCCCGCCTTGCTTTGCACCCACCCAGCCCCGCGTGGGGCCAGGGGCTGCTGCCTTGGCCTGCGAGGAGTGGGGAGAGGGGGCCCCCACGTGAGATCCAGCCCGCGCAGATGCAGAGGTCGGGCGATGCGAGCGGGACCAAGAGCTCCCTGGGCCTCTGGCCCTGGGGCTCCGTGCAGAGCCCGCTCTGTGCCCGCCTGGGTTGTGTGTCACTGCTTCGCTTCGCGTCCATACAAAGGGCTGTTGTGAACCATTCAGTCCCCAAGGGGCAAAACCACCAGTGGGCACGCTGGTGTGTGTAAGAGCTTTTCTTTCACTAGGGGAGAAGGGGGACGTTGGTAGCCACCTGTCTCTGAGCGAGGTGGAACAGGAGATGGAGCAAATACATGGTTGCAGGTAAAAACCGCTTGATGTAGAAAAGGTCGCAGTGCTAAATCAGCCTGGTAAAAAACTACTCTTTAAAAATATTCTATTGGGCAAGTTCAAAGAAAGGGAAAAGAGACACACAGTTGTATTCTTAACTAAGCCGCATGGTACGTATGCACTGAGCATCACGATGAAACCTGAAACAACTAATCAGTCTGATCATATTTCAGATTTCTTCATGAAATCTTTACATGGTCAGAAAATGAGGAGAAAGGTCCTGGATTCCCACCCCAAAATGCTCCTGAGTAAATCGTTCTAACTCTGGTTTCTGAAGGGAAATATACCTTTCCTGAAGTTTGCTCTCAGACTCCTTCAGCTTTGTTTTCAAATGCTGTACTGTAACTTCTTTCTGCTGCAGATGACTCAAGTACTGCTCTCGGTTTTGTGGCTCAATGCTGTGGTTGTCACCACAAGAAATGTATCTCCCTGATCGCCTGGAAAGGGAAGAAACCCAAACCGTCACAGAACATCACTCCTAGAGGTCTTCAGTCCTGCCAAAAAGAGACTTCCCATAGACCGACACAAAGCTTGACTCGTTTGGGGCTCCCCAGTGTCCTCACAAGTGGCTCCTCTGGAAAATCAACATCCTTGAGGAAACAGCTGGTTTGTGGCTGTCGTGCAGAGTTTACTATCTGCTGTCCTTGGTTTCAGTGCCATGCCATCAAATGAGACATTTAACTTTAAAATACTTTTACAATAAAAACTTTTTAGAACTAAAAAACCTTCTTTTTTTTTTTTTTTTTCCTCCAAATACAGCTCTTTTTTTGTTTCTTTCTCGTATCACAGTTCTCATCTGTGTTAGTGTTGCCTGAGAGCATAGTGTTACCCAAACTGTTTTAACACTCACAATACTGATGCTGTATGTATTAGCTGCAAGACCAGACTTACTCGTCTACCTCTGCACTAGCAACACTTGCACTATCCTGAAAAAAACTGCTGTGCTTACTCGAGAGAGAAAGATCTTTTGCTTCCAGCAGCAGACATGGGGACTTCATGTGCTGAAATAGTGCCTGTGCTGCTTGGAGAGATGAAATTGGCTTCACTCCCTGGAAAGGAAAAGGGAAGATTGGAAACATGATGGAAAGTAGAACACAAAGACTGTTTTCAAAATAACAGCAAATCACAAGCATTCTCCCTTTGTGCGTGCTGGGTGAACTTTAGAACTTGCATGAATTTTCAACCATCCCTAAGGGCAAGCACTGGATTTTCAACATGGCTTCAGAACTGGCACTTCCAGAGGAGCAGGAGAAACATCTGGACACGAACCCCTGATGCTACAGAAGCCATGTTAGGACTCGGTGGGGATGTCTTGCACCCCTCCATAGCCGGGACCCGTGTCTTCACAGCCTTAAAGACGGTGAGACATCCACCAACCACCCTCACCTTCTGGCAGCTCTTAGCAAGCGGTCTGAGGATCAGCCCTGTTCGGATTTAACCCAACACTTTCCCAGCCTCCCCATGTGCCAGCGTTGGGATCAGCCCCTGCTTCTCTGTGCCTCTCGTTCAGCCCAGCCCAGATATTCCTCGGCCCGAGCTGAGTGCTGAAATGCACAGCCCAGCTCTTGCAAAGGGTAATCCCAGGGGCCCAGTTTCGCCACCGCTAATCAACTCCATGCCAGTACAACACCCCTGATGATCAGACCCAAGTAGCCACAGCTGGAACCAAATCAGAGCCACCTGCAAGTCTGCAAGGGAAGGGAGGGAAAGCAGCAAAGCCTCTTCGTGTCACAGAGTATTTATATAATTCCTACAGATGCAGCTGTCAGTGACCCTCCTCCTTGGGGAACCAAAATGACCGTGGGACACAATGTCTGAAGTTTCCACGGTCTTTTCCTGATAAACAAAATGCTCCCATCTAAGAGACTAAGATACTAAATGCTCTCTTGGTATCACGGTCCTCCCAAATCTAATTTTCCAAGCAAGACCCGAATGGGTAAACACATCATACAGATTTCATACCTCTGGTGTTCAGGCCCCCATATCATTCCACCCCGTTAAAGATGCCAGCAGCTTTCCAAAGCCACGTCCTGGCTGTGGCACAGAGAAGAGGAGCCCTAGCCAAGAGTCGTCTCTGGTTAAGTAGAACACATCATAACCAGATGTCGCTATCAAAAGCTTTTTGAGGAAACGAGCCTTAATAATTGAGCCGCCTGGCTTGCAGCGTAGTGCTGGGAAGGGCTGCCGAGCTAGGCACGGCTGGTAAGAGTGAGCAGAGCCTGAAAATGGAACCACCCCAAAGGCTGAGCTTTCTGAGAGCGTGAACTGCATCTGAGACCCAGTGATGTGTCTGCAAAGCATAAATTAACCTGTCTGGCCCCAATTCTGAAAACAGCCACACACAAGCTTAACTCTGAGCACAGGAGACTACTTTTGCTTAAAATTAGGCATGTGGCTATTTACAGGCTCTTCAAGAACATTTTAAAAATTAAAGGGGTCACTGCCAGTATCGGTTCCAAGTGTGCTACTTATGCTCAAGCCAGCTCTGCGTAGAGCAGAGCTCAACAGCACTGGTACTAGGAGAGCTTGAAAAATATTTTCTCCCATTTGGTAAACATCCCTAAGAAAAACATCATGGCATCTATCCATAAAATATTAATTGCAACAGATTCTCCTGGGTAATTGGGACTTCTGTCTTAGAAACACCCTACCAAAGCGGTGAAACTCCGTGCCTAGCAGCAGTGCGGGCAGGACCGAACACGGCCTCTCACCTCTCCTAACGCCGCTCTCCCGGCTGACAGCTCCCTAGGGATGCCTGTTGACTGGTTTTGTCGCTGGGACAACGTGATTGCAAAAGCTCACACGTTTAAGCCCCAGAAGAGCCCACCGAAGCAGCGTTAACCATGAAAGAGGTTAGCATTTCTCAAGAAACACATTCTTTTGTCCCACCCGTGCGGTGCAGCCATTGCACCCACGTTTGGGTGTGGAAGTGGCCCGCGTTTAACTCTGCTCTTTGCACTGTGTGCAAGGATAATGACACAGTACAGTGTCCATATATCCCACTGCATTCAGAGTGCTGATGGGTAGAGCAGATTAGGTATATTTGCTCTACTGGGACAGGATGCAAGCACTGAAACATCACGACATGTGTGTTGAGACAGCATATACATTCCTTACACAGGGCCACACAATAGCCCCACATGGATGCCTGGTGTATGGCATCCCAGTCTGCTATTTCTGGCCATGTCAGGTGGTCGGATACCTTTTTGGATGGTCTCCTGGCCTTGCTATTAACATTTTGCTTGTACTAGACTGTTGAAGATTTTTCCTCCTATAAGAATAAAGCTCAAACCTGCCTGTGTGCATTTTATTGTCCATTGGCTTTCTAAATGGTAAGATTACAGTATGGGAGAAAGGAAAAAGGTCAAGGAATATCTGTGACAGGAACACTGCCAGCTGACCACATGAACAGGATTCCTACAACTCAGGATGTAGATGAGCTTATGAAAGTTTAGTCTTTTTGTGTAACTCGTTTGTATTTGCAACTTCAGCACTATTTCATAGCTGCCAAAGTCTAGATACCATGGAACTTAACTTGCCTCTCTTCTTACTGCATAAACATGACCTTGTTATGTATATACATACATCTATCAGTCCTGATGCTGGGTTTTGCATATAGTCACACAGTGAAACACAGCTGTGAGTAAAACAGTGCTGACAGAGACAGCTTGTGCTCAAAACGTAAAGCACCTAAATTTGCTGAGCTTCCTTGCCTTCAAAAACATCCTGTCACGTGAGAAAGAGACCAAAATATGAACATGTATGGTCACCACTCTGCTGCAGCAACTAGAGGAATAACTGGAACACTGTCTCTGTAGATGGCTTTATTTAGAGAGCCCGGGGGGAGAGAGAGGGCCTGACTGTGTAAAAACACCCAGTAAAGCCATTAGAAACAGCTGAAAAAGTGGAGAGAATTCAGTTGTAATGCTCACTGTTGGAAGGACCCGCATGTTTAAGAGACTGAGATTAATTTATCCTAGAAACCTTTTACTCACAGCTACGTCTCTACTTCCCATCTTTAACAGCATAAGCAGTGTGTTTCCAGGAAGCATTAATGCTGCTCCTATTCTATTTAATATGAGGTTGTTCCTGCGAGATTGTTTTTGTATTCTCCCTCTGCCCCTGTCTCATTCTCTCCACGACCATGAGGTCTAAAGTCAGTGGAAGAAGCTGAGGATGTGCCTGGGCATGCCGAGAAGCAGGTCGGCTTGAAAAGCACCCGACAGCTCGGTGCCTGGCTCCTCTCTAAGACCAGGGTGGGTGTTTCACACCGCACCAGAGATATCAGGGTCCACACAGGAGCAGCCCGAGGAAAGCTCCCTTCTGCTGCCTGCTTTACTGGGGAAAGGATCCAGCTAGGATCTGCAGGGCCACATTGAGCTTTGAACTGGGAGGAGGCTGCACATCCCCTCCCCATCACACCACCTGGGACACGCACAGCATCCAGCAGTAAGGACCGGACGAGGAGACGGGGTTCCCATCCTCCCAGCTTCTTCTCATGGCCCTCTGCAGGAGGTGGGATGCCTGCCTGTCTTCATTACTCCCTGCTACGTGCTGGAATCCAAACAGGCCTGAGTTCCCCACAGCTCCCACTTCCATCAGAAGACCCTACCCAAGATCTGCAACCAACACTTTCTCCTTGTCACACATAACACTACAGAACAGGACTGGCAAGTCCGTTTTACAGCTATTCTGCCTGTTACATTGCTACATTCACATGTGAAAAAGAGAAAAAAAAAATAATACAAACCTCTCTCAATGGGGTCATTAGAACGGTTGCTCTCACAAAGGTTGTTCAAGACCAGGTCGGGCTCAGCAAAGACCTGCTGAGCAAACGCCCGAGCTGCCGACTTCTCACAGGTCTCCTCCCATGCCTGCAGCGGTTCTGTCTGCTGGCGTTCGCGAGGTTCCTGCCGAGACAACGCCGCCTGTGAAACATGCAGGCTTTAGCTGTCACTTCTCTGATCTGGAGGAACAACTCGGCAAACAACATAATGACTGAGGACATCAGTATATGCAGCACCTGGTCCCTCCAGCCTCTATTTCTGCAAAAAGTGTTCACAGGAGAAAGTGCTGGAAAGCAGGCTCGCATGGCACCTGTGCAGTAGGAAAACCCCTGTGGGCTAGATGGGAACTTCTTCCTTGGTGTACTGGTTTTATTTTTGGTAAGCCTGGCAAGCGTCTGGAGAGTGGCCAGACTAAGCCTTTCCTGCTGCTTTAGTGTGCCCTGATCTCCAGACACGTGGCTTTACTGGCGTGGCAAACAGAGATGGCAGTTAGCCGTGGGGCAAGTGGAAGGTGGTCCAGGATTTTCTGCACTTTCCAGCATTCGTGGGTGTTTTTCTACCCTGTTTGTTATAACAAACGGGAAATCTGACTATATCCTTAGAAGGCAAGACTGACAAAACACATGTGTAAGGTTGAGTAAGAATGAATAATAAAGGCTTTCCTTTTCTGCTTACTCCTGATTGGGAATTACTCATATTGAGAGCTTGGAAATCACGGGTGCAGGTGCGCTACTACTTAGCTTTTAAGGTAGAAGGATACATTTTGGAATTTCAGAGCCTTGCGAGTATTCGTTTAGGGCATTATCATCAGGAACACAGCTAAGATAAGTGCTTGACTTACAACTGTACGAGGTACAGAAAAAAATTGCTCTCAGGCTTGCCTTCTTGATGAGCCATCTAAGGAGGCAAAGTCACCAGAGCAAGACTGCTTCCAAGAAAGCAGTCTGCTGCCTCGGTTCTGCCACAGAAACTGACTGCAGATAGGGGCTGTTTTGCTACAGGGTTTGTGAGCCCAGCTTTGCCTCATACCTCTCCTTTGTCGGCTGCCCTGGCCATGGCTCCTCCGCCCTCTGCCAGGCCGCAGAGCAACGAGGGTGGTCGCTCAAGGGGCACGTCTGCCTGACCTACCACATCCGCCTCTATTCCGTGGTCCCCAGGCTCATCTGAACACAGCTCTGGAAAGCAAAGGCATAAGGAATGACACGTGTTGGGGTCAGATGAGCTTTAACAGCCACGACTCTGCCTGTTGATTCCGCAGGCCAAATTACATGCCAAGAATGTGCTGCAAAATGATTCCTCTGAAGGAAACTGGCAAAACCCTGCACCCCAAGTGAGGAGCGACCCTCTGATGCCGTCTGCTGCCCCCCTCGGGAAGGGTCCCGGCAGCACTGTCACTCAGCAGATGTCGGTCATCACAGTCCAGAGCTCCGGCTCTCACCATGAAGAACATGCACGTTCTCTTCCTACCTCGGCCAGAAGAGCCCTGGAGGTGAGAGCACACCTGAAATGTGGGCACTTGGTCTGAACCGGACCTGTCTCCTACGGGAGAGCTGAGAGACCTTGCTCAGAAAAGATGCGCTACAGAGGCCACGAGACAACGTGCATCAGTCAGGCCGTAAGAGACCAAAACTTTCAGCGCAGACCACCTCGTTCTGGGAGAAACCCAGTGCCAATGGAGAAAAGCCTGGGGGCCGCCGGGCAGCAGTGCAGCAGGCTTGGCAGGGCGCCGGCAGTGGCACTGTTCACAAACCTCAGGCCACGTCTGAGGAGCATCTGGAAAGAGCAAAGCAAGAAGCCCTGGCCTGTGTGCCAGGAGGTGCACTGAAACTGAAGAAAGGTCATCTAACCTCTGGGAAAGGTCACCCTAATTCACCCCGTGTGTTAAGGTTCGAAGCGGTGAATTCCAGGATGTTACAAGGGCAACGGTTAGAGAACCGCAACCCAAGGGGACGCTCCCAAATGCCCCATGAATCGCCTTTTCCAGGTTCATCTGGACCCACGTGCTTTGAGTTGGACCTGAAATTCAAAGCTTTACAGCATTCTACCTGTCTGCACATCAGCGTGCTCTCTGCTGTCCTCAGGCTCAGGCGCTTTGGGCTCCAGCTGCTTCTGGGTTCTCTTGCTGCTTGGGCTCCCTTGCTGCTTGGCCAGGGTTCTATTGCAGTCTTCTTCTCGGTGCCTTTGAGCCTGAGGACAGCAATGTGGGATACTCTGGGCAGGCAGCAGGAAAAAGAATCCATCCCAGATTACTTTCCGTGTGGAAGTGGTAATCCTTCTCCCCACAGGGAAATGAAGACGATGGCCTTTGGCCCCACAGACTTGCAGTTCAGGGCCACGAGCCTGAGGAGGGGGGAGTCATGTTCTCTGTGCCCCACGGGGGTTTTTGCTCCCAAGGCTGGGGCTGCACCCAGCTCCTCGGGACCTGCCCACAGGGCACTGCCCCAGCACCCTTCTCGGGTGCTGTGTGGTCTAGAAAAGCCACAGCTGGGCACCAGTCACTGGCGTGGAGCACAGGGGACACGGGCTGCCCGTCTGTGCTCTCTGCCCCGGCACTGGAGATTTCTGCCCAAACCCCACCAGGGAGAAAGAGGCCTCTGTCTTGATGGCTTCCCATCCCAGAAAAGCTGCCCTTCCTCTCCCGAGGCCTCTCCCACCCATACACAATGCCAAGGTGGAGAAAGGTAGCCACTGCTTACTTTTGCCTGGCACTGAACCAGAGTCTCGATGATCTGGGCAGCCATCGTCACCGGCTAGACAAGAGAACAAAGGCCAAGTGGGAGACGCTCCTCTGATGGTCTGTGCTAGAAAGCAGCGTCACTCCCGTGAGCCAGCTGGAACGACTTAGACACTTACAGATCTGCAGAGGCCCAAGACCGTCACAAGGAGATTAAGCGAGGGCAGTGTGGTCACTCGTGTTCCCTGGGCTGTGCTGCTTTGCCTGTGCACAGGGAATGGACAAAGGGAGAGCTCTGTGTCACTGAGCCTGGCTTTGCCCTCTCCCCTGCCAGCCCGTCCAGCACCATTTGCATCCAAACAGCCAAAGAAGAAGTCCAGGCGCAAAAGGGGCAAGTGGAGACAGCTGGATCTTGACTTGCCGTTACTTTCCCAAGGCAAGGCTGAGCAACTCGGGCAGTGCTGCCCCGCAGCTGCCCCAGCAGTGCGGGTACCTCTGCCCCAACCCTCGAGCTGCCTTGCAGCTGCAGCTGGAGCATCCCACCAACGGCCACGGTGGCACCAGAGGTTTGCTACTCCAGCAGGGCTTACCTGAGGATGGCGTCCAGCCAGAGTTCTTTCACCTCTTGCGAGCTGCAGGAGACAGGAGAACCAGTGTCACACCCCACTGCCACCAGCTAGGTGTTGTGCAGTTTTCCCTCCGGAGAACAAAGTCAAAGCCAAGGAGGGTCTGCTCATGATGCAGCCTCGTCTCTCCAGGAGTCCCTTTTGATGCTGCAACTCTGCAGCCTTTGGGATGCCCCTGAGCTGAGGAGCGCTGTCGCAGACACGGGGCTTCTCCAGAGCGGGGAGCGACAGCCCAGCTCTGCCAGAACTGCACCTGGGTTTTCCTGGGAGCAAACGGGACCGCCTGTCTGCACACAGCCCCTGCCTCAGCCCACGCCTTGCCTCACCCCTTTGACAGCGCACACCTTGTGCACGGGCTGTTTCCAGAGGGGAGAGGCTCAGCTCGGAAAAGAAGCCGAGCTGCAAAACGCTTCCCAAGCAAAGCGGTGCCTCTGCTTTCCCTCCCCGCCCCGTGCCGTGGACCTGAGGAGCCAGCTGGGCTCTGAAGGCGAGCACTGGGCCAGACAGCCCAACGCCTGGGTGACACGTCACCACGACTCACCCAAAAGTGACCCCGCAGAGGCTGGTGGGCCAGACGAGGATGAGGGTACAGCTGCAGTCCAGGCCCAACGCTGCGTCTTCTTGTGCACACCCGCACGCCGCCTCCTCCTGGCACAGCACCCACAGCTCGCCGAGACGCACCCTGTGCTGCAGCCAGAACCTGGTGCCACATCTGCAGCCAGGAAGAGCAGGGGCTGATGGTGAGCTTGCCTTCTGGGGGGGGGCACCCATGGAAATCCTCCTTGGGAGAGCCACTGCAGCTGACAGAGCCCTGGGAAGGGCTGCCCAGCTTCACAGCTCACCCAAATCGGCAACATCCTTGCCGGCGACACCCCCTGACCCTTGTAGCCCTGGTTTCTGAGCGGCCGACCCTCCCCAGAAATCCTCCCTGGGACTTTCTGGGCCATTGGAGCAATGGCCAGCCCGAGAGGGCTTTGTGAGATGTCTCCTGAGGGCTGGCATTGGAGGCAGGAGGTGGGAAGAGAGAGTACTGCCATCCTCTCTTCTTACCTGCGCTTGGCAAAAGCAAGGGCGTCTTGGAAAAGCAGGAGGTCTCTCCTCCTCGTCCTCCCACGCCAGGTCACCTCCACACAGTCGCAGCGGAGGAGCTCGGGATGCCGTCGGGACACGAGGGCACCCGGCTGGCTGCCACCAGAGCCGCCCCTGCAAAGGACACGGTTGCGGGCGTGAGGCACGCGGCTCTGCCGGGAACAGGCCGTGCCCGGTGCCAGAGGGACAGAGCAGGCACGCACCGGGAGAAGCAGGAGGGCAGCTGGCCCATCGTGCTGCGGCCAGGCAGACACTTGGGCTGTGGAAGCGCTCAGCAAGGGGAAGAGCCAGGCCCCGCAAGGCCTTCCGAGGCTGGGCAGCGATGTCCCCGTGCCAGGGTGCTCCTGCCAGAGCCCGTCTCTCCCCAGCACTGCCCGCGCCAGCACAGTGCCGCACCGGGAGACACTGGTGTCCGTGACACCACTGGTGCCCCTTGTGATGCGTGGGAGGCCACGCCCAGGGCGGGGGCACACAGCGGGCGGGGGGGCTCCAGGGCACCAGGAGCTGCTCCTACTCGAATGGCGTTTCCCACACTCCCAGCAAACAACAGGAGCTCCCTCCAAGCTGAGGGCCCTGAACAAGGCAGAAAGCTGCGGGCAGGAGTCCCCTCAGGAGCCAGGAGAGACGCTCTGTGCCCGGCCCCTGCCAGCTGAGCCAAGGCCTTCCAAAAGGCCCTTCAGCACCTCGGCTCCTGCTGCCGCCACCTCTCCGCGCATGGTGATGTTCAGTCCTTCCACCTGGTCCTCCAGACTGGGCCCAGGGCTCAGGCCAGCCTTGGAGAGACTCTGCGCTGCAGAAAAATGGGTAACAGCCTGGATTTCCTGCTCCCACCAGGCTGCGCACAGGCAATCCTCGGCAGCAAAGCGCTGACAGCTGTGCTTAGGGAAGACACAAGAGCGGTGAGCTGAGGTCCCGGTGAGCACGCCAGTGTCAGCCCAGCAGTCCCACCAAAGCTGTCAGACTCCCCCAGAGCCCAGCCCCTTTGGTGCCACAGTGCATTTCTCTGCTTGGGCTGGCTCACAGACCTCCTGTCCCAGGGCACGAGCATCACGCCACAGGCCCAGTGTCCTCGAAGGCACCTACCCGACATATTCTGCTGACGTCGGAGGCGTGTCCATGCCTGAGAGCTGCTCAGGACTCCTGGCAGGCAGCTACCGCAGTCCGTTTGCTGCCTTTGGAGCAAGCTGAGCTCCCAGGGAGCAGCCCCAGACTCTTCTCTCGGGGAGCGGGGCCTGAGCGGGGCAGGGGTGCTGTCATTTGCTGCCAAGTGAAAAGGGAGCAGCAGCGTCCCAGGGAGCAGCCCAGGGGAGCTGGTTCTCTTCCGAGGCCACCAAAGCAGCCTGCCTCTGCCCCCAGTTTTGGGGGAAATACAGAGTGGCGCAGAGATGTTCCTCGGTTATTCAGAAGAGGGGCTGGGGTGGCCTTGGATGCCTCCATGTGATCTCAGAGGGAACATGGTGGGTGTCAGCCCTCAGCATGGTCAGGCCTTGGTGATCCCAACCTGCTGCAAGTGTGTATCGGGGGGTTTCTGGGGGCAGGACATGGTGGCGTTGCATGGAGAAACTCCCGGGTCCCTTCCCGTGGCTCCAGTTTCCCTGCTTTCCTCTGGGATTAAAATCCCTGCTCAGGAAGGGAAGAGCAATGGAAGGGCAAGGGAGGGGAGGGGCTACCATTGAGGAGGAGAAGGTGTGATGGGGAGGAGGAGAGAAACGGTGGGGTGTTTGAATCCAGACACCTCCAGCGGAGAGATTGCCCTCGGATCCAGATCTGGTCCTGGCACGAGCCTTGCCGTGCCTGGGTCTGTCCTTAAAACAGGCTTGGGCAAGGGTGCCAGGTACCATCCCTGCTGCAGACTTTCACGTGCTCCCTTTTCCTTTCTCCTGGTACAGTTCTGGATCAGTGGTCGAAAGGGGTCACTACGTACTTCTGCAGCTGGGAGCAATGACCCTTCCCTCGCCAAAGGGTGGCACAGTTCTGCGAAACCATTTGCCTGATCTCCTGCTACATGGTGGTAAATTGGCTGGACTGCAAGGAGGAAGAGGTGGGACGTGCTGCTTTCCATGCCTGGGGCCGCAGTGGTGGGGTCTGTCTGTGCCCAGTGGGGTGTGAGCAGAGGGGTGAGGGGAGGGGGGCTCCCTGACGGGAAGTAGCCGAGTCCTGGGGCCTTTCTGCAGGGAGGGCTGGGCCACCAGCATGGGGAAAAGCTCTCTCTCCTCCTGAGTGAGCCCTTCTCCCGTGGGGCAGAAGGGAAAGGGAAACCCCTGCCAGCGGGAAGGGCAGGCCAGTGTTCAGGGGATGCTGAGCACTGGGCAGACCTTCAGCCCTCCAAGCAGAGCCTCTCCTTCCCTCTTCAGGACAAGCAGGCTGTCCTTGGGGCGGTGGCCGCCAGGACGGGGGTCCTTCTGCGTGAGGAGCAGCACCGCGAGCGTGCCTGGGAGCAGCTCCTCTGGCTCTTGCACCAAGATCAGGAGGTGCGAGACACTCCCCGGGTCAGCAAGGTGAGGTGTTGCGCAGGGCCCGGCGTGGCTGCTGGAGCGGGTCTGTGCCCGTGCCACGAGGCGCTGGGGAGCTGTGCGGTGCCAGGAGGAGCTGAGAAGCCCTTAGGGAAGGATCGGGGAGAGCAGAGAGGCCTGAGGCTCTTTGGGCAAGAAAAGAAAAACCCGGGGTGGGGGGCAGGAGGGAGGCAAGAATCCCTAGGGCTCATCTTCTCAGCAAGGGAGGCACTGCCACCTCCCTGAGCTGTGTGGGAAGAGCTTTGCCCTCATGCCCAGGGCCATGTCCAGTGCTGTCCAGTGAGAGGGGCGAGGTCTGCTGAGTGGGAAGTGCCAGGAAACAGAGTTGTCAACACCGGGCTCTGTTCAGAGGCAAGAGCCCCTCCTGGTGCTGCTCTGAGGGGAGGGCAAACAAGAAGCCCCGTGCTGGGGGGTGTGGGGTTTTCCCTGGGAGCTGGTGTTAAGGTCTCCCCTTATCCCAGTGGTGCTGGGTTTCTCCTTTGCCAAGTGCCTTTAGGTGGCTTTAGCCTCCTCTTCCTCCCCCATTCTGTTGTAGAATCCCCAGCTCTGTCCTGGAGGTGCTGGAGGGAGTTCAGACCCCAGTCCCACAGGGCATGGCTCTTGCCGTCAGCACTGCTGTGTACCGCCAGGTAAGGGGAGCCTGCGTCCTGCCGCTGGCCTGGGGCCCACACGTGTCATTGCCGTGGAGGGGAAAGAGCTGCCGGCTGGCAGGGCAGGGCAGGGCTGGGCAGGGCAGAGTAGGGCAGGGCAGGGCAGGGCGGGGCAGGGCGGGGCAGGGCAGAGTAGGGCGGGGCAGGGCAGGGCAGGGCAGGGCAGGGCGGGGCAGGGCAGGGCAGAGTAGGGCAGGGCAGGGCAGGGCAGAGTAGGGCAGGGCAGGGCGGGACAGGGCGGGGCAGGGCAGAGTAGGGCGGGGCAGGGCGGGGCAGGGCAGGGCAGGGCGGGGCAGGGCGGGACAGGGCGGGGCAGGGCAGAGTAGGGCAGGGCAGGGCAGGGCGGGACAGGGCGGGGCAGGGCAGGGCAGGGCAGGGCAGGGACAGGGCGGGGCAGGGCAGGGCAGGGCAGGGCAGGGCAGAGTAGGGCAGGGCAGGGTAGGGCAGGGCAGGGCAGGGCGGGGCAGGGCAGGGCAGGGCGGGGCAGGGCAGGGCAGGGCAGGGCAGGGCAGAGTAGGGCAGGGCAGGGTAGGGCGGGGCAGGGTGGGTCAGGGCAGGGCAGAGTAGGGCAGGGCAGGGCGTCCCTCCACCGGGACCTTCCTGCAGGCCAGGAGCACGCCAGGATTTGTGATCCTTAGGGCTGCAGGAGGCCTGACCCTGGCTGTTTGGAACGGGCCCGAGGGGCAGCCCAATTCCCACAGCAAGTTCCTTCTTGGCCAAGCCACAGGAGCATTCCGGAGCGTCGGCACCCTAAGGACTGCCTTTCAACACTGCTCAGCCTCATCTCCCGGGCTGCTGCAAGCCTCTGTGTGTGCCCGGGGCCACTGTGGGGTGGGCTGGGTTTTGGCTGTGGGTCCCGTGCCCAGATCCCCCAGGGAGAGGAGAGCGGAGAGCACCGTTTGGTTTCAGTCCCTCTCAGCACTGACGCAACTTTCTCTAACATGGACCTTGTTCCCACAGCTCTCTGATGTGAGCCGGGAGCCTGGCCCGGCCCATCAGGCAGTGCTGTCCCGCTGCATTGTGCCTCAGGGTGAGGAGAGGAGGCTGGGCGATGCCCTGCTGTGCTGTGGCAGCTCTCTCCCTCTCCTTGGTGGCTGCTGGTAAGTGCCTGTAGCCGGGGCAGTCGCGTGGGGGGTTCTGGGCTGCACCATCGGACCGGTTTCCCTAGAGGTACTATGGTCTCTCGGCTTCATGTGAGCTCCTGGAGCTGTGTGCTGAGCTGGTGGGGCCCTTGGGTGCTGGTGCTGGGTGGCTGTGGCTGAGGAAGGGCTGGAGGTGTTGGGTTTGGGTTCCTCGATTAGGGTGAACCCAGCTGTGGTTTAAGCCACTCTGGAGAGGGCTAGTAAATCCCCTTTCTGTTTTCTCTTCCTTTCTCCTCTGGCCAGCAAGCTGAGGCCACCTCTGAGCAGGGAGGAAAATCACAACCTGCTGTCAGTGTGCTGCCAGAGTGTCCTGGTCTGTGCTTCTGAGGAGCAGGTGAAGAAGGACAGAAAGACAGTGGGGGCAGCTGTGAGCATGCGGGTACCCCCCGGCCAGTGCCTGCCCACCTCTGGGTCAGGATCCCACCTCAGCTCACCCTGGCAGCCCCCGGGATGCAGAACCTCAGCTCTCCTTTCCTGATTTTAGCTTCTGCACGGGAGAAACCTGGAAGATCTGGGCCTGCTCAGAGAAACCCTTCTGGAGGCAGAGGTGACCTCCGCCGGCTTTGACTAAGTGGTCCCTGTGAGTAAGCATGGGGCAACAGGAAAAGTGTTGCGGGGGCAGAGAATCGAGGCCTTAGCAGGTGATAGGAGGTGGATGCCTTTGCTAGAGGAAAGTGGGGCTTTGGCTCCTTGCTCCAGGGCTGTGCGTCTGGCTGGGGCCAGGGGCTGAGCTGTGGCACAAGAGCCCCCAGCCACTGCAGCCTCAGGACAGGCAGAGAAGTGGGTCCTGATGGAGGGAAAGCCAAGAGCCAGCCCTGAGCTGGGCGAGAGCAGCCTGGGGGAAGGCTGGAGCGGGGAGATGCTGACCAGGAAGCAGCACCTGGCTCAGGGCAGAGGCAGCAGGAGAGAGCGGGGCAGCGAAGGCTGCAGTGCCAGGGCTTGGTGGGGCTGGGGGCTGTGCCAGGAAAGGGCCAGAGAAGAAGGGAGAGGGATCTCAGGGAGAAAAAGATTCCTGTTATGAGAGAGGTGCACCTTGCCCCAGGTCCTGAAGGGCTGGCTCACCTCAGCCAAGGAACAGGAACGGGAGAGAGCCCTGCGGGTCTGTGCCCACATGCTGGGTGCTTGCGAGGAGCGACTTGAGCTCATGGTGAGTAGGGATGCCTGTGTGCCCTGGTGCCCCGTTCCCATTCCTGGCCCCACAAGGGAGCCCTGCCTGATGGGGTGCTGGGTTTCGGGGCTCCTGGGATTTTGGGGCACCCCTTCTGTCTGCCCCTCTGCCCAGTCGCTGCTCAGGGAGCAGGGTGGGCGGTAGAGGCGAGCGGGTGCTGGGGCTGCCTGCAGCCCTTTTCCTGCTGCTCTCCCCTGCAGAGAGGATGTCCTTGCAAGCAGTTCAGCTCCCTGGTGGGGTTGCTGGGGTTTCTGATCACTGACTGCCTGGCCACATCCCACCAGAAGGCATTGGTCTGCCTTGGCTACCTTCTGCAAGTGCAGGGTGAGGAGAGCGGGTGCCTCCCAGCTTCGCTCAGCCTGATCCCTCTGTTCTGGCCTGGCACCATGGGGGTCCCACGGGCCGGGGCCCCATCCCCAGCAGGGCAGGGGGAGGCAAGGTGCTCAGCTGGTTTTGTGTCCCCACCCCTTCTGCCTCCCCGGCCATCTCGGGAAGAATCCCTGGGAGAGGGTTGCTGAGTCCCACCTCCCTGGGGCGTGTGTGAGGCTGGGTGGTCTGGGCCATCCCTCACTGCTGCCTGAGAGCAGGACATTGTCACCAATGCTGGCGACTGTTCCCCTCCACATCTGTCCCCCTCCGCGTTCC